AGTAGAATGGTTGTTGCCAGAGGCTGGTGGGGAGGAGGTGGAACGGAGAGTTATTGTTTATTGTACAGAGTTTCAGTTGTGCAAGATGAAAAAGTTTTGAAAATTGGTTGCATATGTGAATACACTTAATACTGAACTGTACATTAAAATGGCTAATATGTTTGTTCACATGAAAGAAGAAAATGATTAAGATGGTAAATTTTATGTTATGTTTTTTTTTTTTTTTTACCACAATTGAAGTTTAAAAGTTAAATAAATATTAGCTATTATTATTTTACAGGTGAGGAAACTGAGATCCCAAGAGGAGGAAGTGATTTGACCAAAACCACTTCCTGTCAACACAGAGCTGGACCTAACCCAGTCCTCTCATCAAACATCAGAGGACTTTGGATTTCTCAGATTGATGAGATCCTGATAAGGACCTTCTGGAGCCTTGTTTTGGAGTTGGCACTAGAAAAATCACATCTCAGAGATGTGTAGCACTGTTTGCAGGAAGTCCGGTCTCAGCCATAATCCAGCCAACTCAGATTGTCCCACAGTAACTTGATTCTGAGGCCCAGACTCACAACCTGAAAGTGGCATGGTTTATGTTTAGTATCACATTCGATAACAACTGCAGGGTGCAAAACCTCATTATACAGGGTTATTGCAACCTGCCCCTTGTCAACAAGATAGCTGGGTTCAGAGAAAGCTTAAAAACCCACACAGAAACCCTTGAATGACTGTGTGTGTGTGTGTGTGTGTGTGTGTGTGTGTGTGTGTGTGTCAGAGAGAGAGAGAGAGACAGAGACAGAGACAGGGACAGAGACAGAGAGGGAGAGAAGAAACACTCTGCAACCCACTCAAATGGAGCAGCTTATTCTGAAGAGGACATGTTGGCAGCAAAGGGGTGGTGCTCCTCAGAACAGTCAGGAAACAATGACACCTTTCTAAGGGGGTAGTTCTAATTAAGACACGAAAAACATGTTTTCTTAAAACTCAATACTTCCTAGTGACCATGCAGTGAACAAAATTAGGCAGGGTATGTCTGTCCAGTTACTTTGTAAATAAAGGAAACTCTGGGTTTTTTGCAGCTGCAGTCCAGTAGGCAGATAACTGAAAAATAGATGTAAGAGCATAGCACTGCTCCAAAGAGATGAAGATTCTTCCACCAGGAGAAAACAACCAGGCTGGGCCCAGGGCAAGAGGGCCAGTGTAGCTCAGGGTGGGATTCGGGGCATTCAACATCAGGGCACTTTTTGCAGCCCAGATGCCAGGAGAGGATCATGGAGGGGGCAGAATCGAGTTTCCTGCTGTTCCTCAAGTTTTGTAGTAACAATAGCAGATGGCAGATGCTCTGCAGGGGAGTAGCCATCTGCATGCCTCATTTTTCACATGTCTGTGAGCTGCTTTAGCACAAGAGGCCCTAAACTTCACCTCAGTGGAACAGTGCCTGGTTTACAACAAATGGACCATAAACATTTGGGGGCAGGCTGGCTGGCTGACAAGGGCACCAGGACCAGGAGAGTGGATCTAGAAACTTCTTCACATTTGACTGGAAATAGATTTAAGATCAATGTAGCCTGAAGACCATGGACCAGTTTTATAGTTATGGCCCCTCAAAAGTCAAGTTGCTGCTGGTTCATCTTTTGGAAAGGAATTCAAGACACACAGTCAGGCTACAAGGATAGCTAGAACATCATGGTTTTGGACTCCATACCTCAAGAAGAGTAACAGGAAGGAAGGGCCACTGAGGCACAGAGGCTGCCTTATGAGGAAGGACAGGAAGCCAATTTATTGAGCATCTATTATGTACTACTAGATTGGTGCTGGGGATGGGGGTGAGTAGAGCAATGAATGAGTTCTGGGATCCCTTGGTGGGGGCAGGGGAGTCACATTTTACTAACAACATGTAGAGGCTGGTGTCATCTTTAGGAAGACTTTGGTATCTTCAGAGGATGATAGTATACATGTGTTTAAGCTTTTAGACTGAAAAGAATCGGGAGTTCTCAGTTTGGAAACATGGTTGGGAGCAGATATAATACAATCATCAAATCATTTAATAGGATTAAAGTAACTAGAACTAGTCATCACATCCCCAAATACTAATTAGCTACTTGTTCTTCCCTCCTTATTTCCTTGGTCAGAAACTTTGAGAAGATAACTTTAAGCCAAGTCATAATGCCTACAGCAAGGAGTTATCTTATGAGAGCCTGTTATCTCAAAGCAGACGTAGGCCAGAAGTATTTAATACCTGTAGAAAGGCTCAGACACTGGATGTATTTGTAATATGTCAACTAAACCAAGTTGGGAATTCATGCCCCAGAATTCCTTCCCTGTATAGTTCTGTGTTAGCAAGGACCACATGACCTTGTGTGAGATTTAGAAGGTAGAAATGTTGTGCCAGCTACATTCTGTTTATACTTGGGAGGTCAGTGGAAAGAGGTCAGTGCCTGGCACATAGGAAGCACTCGATACATGGTGGTTATGACCACTTTTGGTCTATGGCTGCAAGACAGCTTCTCTCCTCCTTCCCCATTAGTTAAGATAAGAAATTTCATTTAATTCTGAATTAACCTTTAACTCAAAAAGAGAAACAAATACACCCTCCTCCAATAAACAAATCAATGAGTAAGTGCTTAAAAAGGACACTTTGTAGGGAAGTTTTCCCTGGGAACTTACACAGCTATATTAAAATTTATTCTCCTTTTCTTTGGCTGAATGTTTATTTCTCCAATAGGTTCATTAGAATAAACGTATCATGCAAAGCCAATAAATGATACATTACAATCTCCTGTCTCTGAAAACTTCCCAAACCTGCTGAGAATGACAAAACCTCCTGTCCTGAGTAATTTGAAGAGGTCTAAGAAAAAAACCCCACCCCTCAACTTTTTTTTAGGGCTGGCTGGTTAGCTAGGTTAGAGCACAGTGTTGTAACACCAAGGTCAAGGGTTCAGATCCCCATAGTGGCAAGCCACCAAAAATAAAAAATAAAAAATAAAGTAAATTAAAAAATTCACTGTTCTTCACAGCTAATACCTACCCTACCCTTGTCAATGCCTGGCTGTATAGCACAGATCACTGAGGATTAACTACTAGCCCTTGAGTTTATGTTAAGAAAAAACTGGGGTCCTTTCCAGCATGGATATTTAAGTTGCTGCTCAAAATTAGCATAGCACAGAGGAAAACTTTTCACCTTTTCTTGTTCCAACCATATTCCAAGGTAATGTGTGGTAAAAATCTAGAGAAAAGTATCTGAAAAGACAAGCACCCAAACACTGAAGTTTCTTAATCCAGAGCATGCTTTAAAAAGCCAAACAGACACCTATCCTTAACATACTGGTGAGTTCCCCACATTAGCTGTATTCCAGTATAGAACAGAATATGAGGACCCACCCGGGGTCCTGGGGACTGCATCCAGGGACAGACCCCTCTTTCCACAACCAGGCAAGGAGCATGCCCAAACCACCACTTCCAGGCAAGGAACATGCCAGCCACCACAATAGCCAGGGCCACTGCAAAAGTGGCTAGATGCCACAACCGCTATGCAGATGGCCCACCAGCCACTCGAGTGCATTGACAAAAGGAGTCACCAGCAGAGACCAAAGAAGAGGCTGTCTCTCTCCACAAAGCCCACTCCAGAGTGACAGAAGAAGCATCTACGCTATGCTAGTAGTGGGGAACCTGAGCACACCTCTCTCAGCACTGGACAGATCATCTAGGCAACAAATCAACAGAGGAACCATTACTCTTTCAGAAGGAGAGAAGAAATCTAGGGTTATCAGAGGTGGGAGGAGGGAGATGGGTATGGGGAGAGATTGGATAAGGGGCATAAAGAATAGGTGTGATTTGTAATAATATATATGCTAATAATATTGATTTGACCAACATATGTCACCGTTGAACCCCCAAAATATGTATAATCAGTTATGACTCAATAAAAATAAAAGAATATGAGGCCTGTGGCTCTGCTGCCATTTTAATTCCACCAAATGCTTGGTTTTTCTAAGTATACAATCTTATTTCATATGCCAATGGAATCATGCCTCAGACTAGAAAAAGATCTGTTTAGGAATTGTATAAGATATTAGGTGACCTGGATGACTGTGGGCTGGTTGCACCACTATTCTGGGTCCCCCCCCCTTTTTTGGTGGTTGGCCAGTAAGGAGATCCGAACCCTTAACTTTGCTGTTATCAGCACTGTGCTCTAACCAGCTGAACTAACTGGCCAGCTGTTTTTGATCCTCCAAGGTTCCCTCATCTCTAGAAGACAAACAGTCCCTGCATTATGGACGGCTTGAGATGTCCCATCTATAGGCAGCAGTTATCCACAACGGGCTGCTGTGAAAGGTCTTCTTAGGAGTTACATTCAGTGATATCCCTTTCTTGCAATGGGTTATTAAGGTCACACATGTAGGAAGATATAGGCAATTACAGAGAAACTATGCAAATGGTGGGGTCAAAATTATTGTGCGTTTGTGTCCTTTCCCTACCTCCCACAGATATCTCTATGTCAGAAATGCAGGAGAGAAAAATCTGAAGAGAAGCACTGAAGGTCTCCCCAAACTTTTTCAAGCCATTAAACAACGTCCTTTTATGCACAATTTTGTCAGTCACTGCTTTCAAATGCATACGTAGCCAGCTGATGGAAAAAATATGCAGCTAGGTTGGAGAGTTCTGAGTTTTGGGATATTGACTAACCAGCTCAAATTCAATAAATTTTGTCACCAATGTTGGCAACAGTCTCCCGGGGTGCCAATCTCAGGAAGTACAGGGTTCTAACGTGCCATGCTAAAAGGGGGGTTCAGAGTGCTGCTAGGAAGACCAAATAAGTATGGCGAAGCCCTTCACTGATACATTTCATGCTTTACAAGGCGTGCACGCCGCTTCTAAATTACTGAGATCACAAATTTACAGCCAGGACTCTTTCTCTCTCTGCCTCATCCTCAAGATCCCTAGTGCGATTATTTACTTAGAAAAAAAAATACGCAAATAAAAAGAATTATTTCATTACCAAATAATTTAACAGCAAAGAGAGCAGTATAATTCAAATCCAGATATGCACACACACACACAAAATATTAAAGACTGAAAAATACTTTGACAGATATTTAGTTTCTAATTTTTTACTATTAAAACTGTGGCTATGGAAAAATAAAGTTACTTGTCTGTGTGTTTTAAAAACAAAATTCAAATCTAGAAATGAGCCAAAGAATTCAGAGGGAATAAATGGTGTTTGGAACCTGCACTGACCTGTCTGTAGACCTCAGAGGTACTGTCAGAGAAAGGTGTACCACTATTCCAGCACCACACCACCTCTTTTTGCAGCAGGAAAATTATGACTTGCAGTATATGTGACATCATTTCCTTAGGCTTTCAGAGTATGTAACCATGACTATCCAATGAAATATGCAACTTAATAAAGGAAAAGCGTGCTTAATACAGAACACTGCCTAAGATATGCTTACTTAAGTTTTATATGTTTATTAGAGGACACCATTAAATTTCATTTTCCAAACTGAACCTACCTTAAAATCAGTTTAAAAAGTGGAATATCCACTGGTTAACGAAAAAACAAAACCTTCTTATTTTTCTGATTATTTGGTTCATTTTAACAAAGATGCATCATTCCATTGCCTTTACCCCAATGTTAATTTCAGATTGTACAATAGAGCAAAGAGCAAGACATCATCTCCTGCCAATTTTCTTCTGTCTCATTTCTTCAAGTTGGCCACCACCATAGTTTTCCAAAAATCAAGAGCAATGGGAAATCACATTTTTAAAAAAAATTTATTTAAGGAACACAAAAAAGTGCATCTAAATATTTAAGAAAAAAAAATTAGTTTTTAGTTCATTATATGCTGACCCACCACTCCATTATGCAGTCTAAAAGGTGATTCACAGACATCTGCTGATTTCTATACAAATTGTTTGAGATTACTGAATTCGATACGAGATTATGTGAAGATTCTTCTCGAGTGGTGATGGCACCTTGCACTCGTTTGCTCGGAACCACTCGCACACCCTTTCCCCACCATACCTACTCTCACCAGCTCCCCCTGGTGACCCATAACATACACTTGGGAGAAGCTGGCTGGGATCATTGGATTTTCGGAAGTTTTTTTACCTGCAAAAAGCTAACTGGCCTTCTTAGGATCAAATTTTAATCTTGGCCTCATTGGAATCTTGCTCTAGTCAACAGAGCTACAAATATCAAACAGTTAAGCAAATAAGCAAAATCAACTTTTGTTTTTCATATTTCCTAGGTGAGACTGGGGCCTTTCAAAGAAATATTTCATAAGAAAAGACAGAAGCATAAATGAGAAATTAGAAGGGTTTTAGTTATCATTAAAGTAAAAACACTCACAATTTAATTCTATTTCTTCCATGGAGAAGAAAACTGGTATAAAATGACTTGATTTTTAGGTTTAAAAGGTAGATTCTAACCTAACAATTTTGTTAAAACCACCATAAAAATAAAAACTAATCTAAACTATAACTGCCAGTGTTCTTTAGGATTTACAAAGTGAGATGTTCCAGGCTTAAGTGAATGGCTCTTTGGATTGCCAAATGCATTCCCACGAGTTTTTCCCAGGCTGTGGGAATGGAAAGCCATGCTCAATTCTGTTATCCATAAGGACTAAATTTCAACTACATATACATATTTTAAGACTTGCCCTAATTAAATGCCCAATTATTGGAGATTTAGGTTCATATGTACCTGCATGGAAAGCTGTTTTCAACTCTTTCACAACTCACACCAGAACAAAGAAGCTATCAGTGCAGGAAAAGAAGGCAACTGCACGTCAAACCCGCAGGTAAAACCCTTACTGTAGAAGAGCAACTACTTATTTGTCAACCCCACAGATTTTGTTTTTAAAATTTAAGGTACTTGGTAATAAAAAGTCAAAAAAATTTTTGCATGATAGAGTGTAAATAAAGTTCCATAAACCAGTATACATATGTTTATGAGCCAGTGATTTAAGAAAGACAAAAAAAAAAAAAGCTGCATCAATCCTAAATGGATACGTAAATAAATCCACTCCAGGTCAAGGATATTATAAAGAACAAGTCTAAAACTTCTAATGGCAAGGATTAGAATGGAAATAAGGAGCTGAACGGTAGTGATGCCAGAAGGAAGTACTGTATATTCAACATTAGTTCCTAAAAGGAATAGAGGAGGGAAGAAAAAAAAAAACACCATAATTCTGATTGCACTTTTCACATTTCAGCATCTCAGAATTACATCCAAAGCAGGAAAAGCTAATCCAGAAATTCCCATCTGCTCATTTTCATTGCTGAAGGGTGTTTTAGGAATGACAGAATTACTCCTCCAGGGACAAGCTGAGTGTGGGAGAAATCCAGTCCCACAAGGCTAAGGAGGGAGCGTGGGAGGTGGCTAAGTCAGCAAGCAGGTGACCTCTGAGGTTCTGGCTTTCAAGTCTGTGATACTGCTGTGGAACTAAGGGGAATAAGACCCTCTATTGTGGGTTCTGTTGGTTAAAAATGCAACAGGTTGCATTCAGAGCACTTCAGTCATTTAAAAAACAAAACCTCATCCTCCTTCCCCCACCCCACCCACCTGTAGGAAAGGAGAAATTCACTGAGCAGTTTTTTTTTTTTTTAAAGGTTTCTTCAGTGATATTAAAGTTCATATGTAAAACCTAACAGACAGACCAAAATTGTGAGGATTATCTCAAGGGACCCTGAATTGGATACTGAAACTTGACATAAACTGAAATGAGCTGGACTTAAGCTGTTGGCTTAATCTCTCCACACCAACAGTCATTTCTGTTTTGTTCCACCTGGAGTGGTCCCATGCCACCCCCTCAATGAACCCACTGGGTAGCAGCAGGGTGGTTATTTTTTGGAAGCTATTTGGTTTTGCCATTTGCTTCCAGAATCACATAGACTATAACAAACTTTACATTAAACACTGTTCAGTCCTGAGTTGGGTAGAAGCCCACTGAGGAGGGGCTGAGTTCATTAGGACTCTCTTCCCTCCTTGGCGTGGCGTCATACATGGCCTTTAGGTTTCTCTTCTTCCACTGCTTGACTTTGTATTCCTTTTTCGTTGGTGGCCCCTTCTAAAGTCTGCTTGCCCATTGCTTTACTGGCTTCTTCCTGAGGAAGAAATAAGAAATCAAGAGGGTTAGAGAAAAAAGAAGTGAAATAAATTCCTGGCTCCTCCAGACTGTTTATCAGGTCCAAAACAAGAGTGTAATACAATAATTTTATTTAGGTTGCCCTGCTGGGTAAGTTAGGACTGTGCTACCAATAGGTAGAATGGGAGTTTTCCCTTTTCTTTGGTTAAATGACTAGCTTGCTGATTGGCAGCTGTTGAACAGCGAAGGCCATGTGATAAGGGGGGCTGGGCAGTGGAGGATGCACTCGGGACCAGGGCACAACTATGCTGTCACGGAGGCCAGCCTCTCTCTCCACACAGTCCTCTCCTATCATGTTTGCCAGGTGGGGCTCCTATAACACCATGTTTCCTGGGAAAATCGGAAGTTTCAACAAGGAAGTATTACTTGAAAAAAAAACCCTAATAAACTTATAATTTTATTTTAATAACAAAAGCTTTAGTACATTTGAAGGGAATTTATTTTCCTCATCTCTTGTGTGGACATGCCAAGGCCTCACAACTTGTGCCTCTGTTAAGTGAGACAGCCTACTCAACCTCTGGATCCAAACCAGCCTCAGATCAGATTGGAAATCATTTTCTCTATTCTTGTGCCTCTCCGGTGGTCTACCTTTCCCTGTCCATTATATTTAATCTCTTAGAACAAAAACCAAAGGGGCAAGGTCAGTTCTTGATCTACCTGAAGGCAAGTGGGCTCTGGACATACCTTTGCATCCTGCTCTGCAAACTTCTTGAACATGTTGGCATATATCCTGCGGTCCCTCTCATTGTGCTCCTTAGCCTTTTTCTGGCACATGGAGATCTGCAGTCTTGCAGCCTTATTCTGGGGATTTACTTCCAACACTTTCTCAAAGTCGCCCCTGGCTGACTCAAACTCGTTCATGAGCAGCTGGGCTTCACCCCTCCTGTATAAGCCTTTCTCATTGGCACCGTCTAGTCCAAGGGCCTAGGAACAGATGGTCTATATTTTAGAAAAGATGAACATAACCCTTCTCACATGTGGGAATTTCAATAAGAAATTCAGTAGTTAAACAGCTTACCAAAGCTCTCTGGCCAAGGGAGATAGATGGAAAAGCCATATTGAAAAAATGAGGCTCAGGCTGACCGGTTAGCTCAGTTGGTTAGTGTGGTATTATAAAACCAAGGTCAAGGGTTTGGATCCCCATACCGGCCAACCGCAAAAAAAAAAAAAAAAAAAAAAAATGAGGCTCAAGATAATTATACACTATTGATCAAAATATACTACAAAAATTAATTTCTGTATTTACTGTAATTATGTAATTTCTAGAAAAATCTTAAGGAAATTTGGGAGGGAGCTCTTGAGAAGTTCATTTTAAAGTTCATTGGAACAAGTAAGTGCCCAAGAATGGCTGAAAACTTGGGGAAAGAGAAAGTAATAAAAGCGACTTGTCCTACTAAAGAAAAAAATGTACTATAAAATGACTGAAATTAAAATAGTTTATAAAGAAAAGAGGTTTATTTGACTCATGATTCTGGAACAGTTGTCCCTGGCACAGGCCTCAGGCTGCTTCCACTCATGGCAGAAAATGGCAGGGCAGCCGGTGGGCACAAGCAGATCACATGGCGAGAGGAAGCAAGAGAGAAAGGGAGGGGAGGTGCCAGCGTCCTTTAAACAACCAGCTGCCATGGGAACTAAAAGAATGAGAAGTAACTCACTAACTACCCCACCTGTAGGGAGGGCATTAATCCATTCATGAGGGATCCTCTCCCATGACCCAAACACCTCCCAACATCGCCACACTGGGGATCAGATTTCAACAGATATCACATACAACCCCCCCCCAAAAAAACCTCATAAAAATATAATATACTTTCTTTTTACGAAGGTACTTCAAAAAGTTCATGGAAAAATGGAATTGAAAGATAATACGAATCTTTCCACGAACTTTTTGAAGTACTGTCATATAATCTTAGGGTGGGGAGAACTTTCTAACTAGAATGGAAAGGACAAATTTGACTAAGTAAATATTAAAACTTTCTTTACAGAGAGATACAATTAACAACATTAAAAGACAAACTAGTGAGGAAAATAGCCTCCCTATTGTTAGACAGGGTTAATGTGATAACATGCAACTGTTTCAATCAATAGAAGATAGACAAATAATTTGGTCACATGATATGAATGTACAATTCACAGAAGAAATACAAATGGCTAACAGAGAAAGAACATGTAACTTCATTAGTAACCAAGAAATAAAAACAAAAATAAGAATTTTTTGTAGCCATTAATATTGACAAAAAAGAAAAACACTGATAATATTCAATGATAATATTGTTAAATAAAATTTGTGGGAGGCCATTGATTTGCACTAAGCCTAACAGACCAAACTAATATAGAGTTTAACTACAGTAGCTGAGCTTTAGTTAATTGTAGGAGGCTCATTAAGCAATTAAATTATAACCAGTAAAGCTGTCTTCTGTTTTGTAGAAATACTGTCGGATCATGTTATTGGTTGGGGTTCTCTGAACCTGCTCTGGTTCAGAGGGCTGTGTGATTCACAAATCTTTTTTTTTTTTTTTTCTTTTTTCTTTTTTGTCTTTTTCCGTGTCCGGCAATGGATCGCAACCCTCAGTGTCGCCCCCGTACCGGACCGGGACCAGCAACGGGATCGCAACCCTCGGTGTTGCTCCCGCGTCGGATCATGTTATTGGTTGGGGTTCTCTGAACCTGCTCTGGTTCAGAGGGCTGTGTGATTCACAAATCTTTTTTTTTTTTTCTTTTTTCTTTTTTGTCTTATTCCGTGTCCGGCAATGGATCGCAACCCGCAGTGTCGCCCCCGTACCGGACCGGGACCAGCAACGGGATCGCAACCCTCGGTGTTGCTCCCGCGTCGGATCATGTTATTGGTTGGGGTTCTCTGAACCTGCTCTGGTTCAGAGGGCTGTGTGATTCACAAATCTTTTTTTTTTTTTTCTTTTGGTGGCTGGCCGTTAGGCGGATCTGAGCCCTGGACCTTGGTGTTATATAAGACTGCACTGTAACCAACTGAGCCAACAGGCCAGCCCCAGAAGCAGTATTAATAATACAAACGTAAAAATGGAGAGGGCTGCTGATGCCTTGTAGGTCTTTCAAGTTATTTATGTATTTTTAATCAGTGAGTAAATGTGATTATAATAAAAAGTGAAATGTATATATCCTTTATATGAGAAGTGCAGTCTGATATAGTAAAGTCTTGAAATTAAAACTAAATCTGCTCTTATTAAACTGATCTTGAGGAGTTAAATGTCTAATCTGATACAAATACCATAGATATAAGGAAGGTCACTGATGAAAATTGTTTAATTTTATCAGAACTTTTACATATATTACAATAAATCATCTACTTTTCTGATAATCAAAATCTTTCTCAATTTCCCAGTTAATACAGAGAAACAAATAACCACAAACATGCAAATAAATAAGACAAAGCAAATGAAAAACCCTCTATACTTTGGCTAAAAGGAAGTAAAAGAAGACCAAGTATGGAGATGGAGAAAAAGATCTGGAATACCTGAAGTCCATTTCACATGAGACACTCTTACCTTATCACAAAATTCGACAGCTTTGGTGTATTCTCTAAGCTTCAGGTAGCACATGGCCAGGTTCAGAAAGGCAGCGAGGAGAAATGATTCAGAAGCTTTCGATTCCTTTTCTGATAAACCATATTCCATCTCTAACCAGGATACTATCTTCCCATACTGAATCACCGCCTGCATATACTTGCCTCCCTAGGAGGAAAAAGCTAGTAATTAATTACCTGTACTCAGCTCTGATGGGGTACAAAAGAAGGGTAAACACAGCCCTCCCTCAGAAAACCGAATCCTCTAAACACAGCCCCTCATGCAAACCCTGGTATGGATTGTTTCTGTCTTCAGGGGGCAGCTCTACAGGCACCTTTTCCCATCCTTTGGAAGCCCCAGTGGCCTACGAGTTGGCTCAGGACGATGCACTAGCACTATACAATGCTGTTCTCCAGCAGTTTCATCATGTCCTTTCAGCAATGGGCACCAAGGCTTTTGGGTTACATTCTTTGGTGCTAATATTCATCAGCCTTTCAAAAGGATGGTGAACAGTTTTAGACTGCACCAGTAGGTAACCTGAAGGGCAAGTGACTTCTGTCTTTTCTCCTGACTTTCAGCACTGCACAGTAAATGCTACATTATGGCAAGCGCCAGTCCCAAACACAGCAAATCTTAGTTATCTAGGCCAGCTGCTGTTGCAACTACTCAAAGGTGTCATTTGCAGTTCAAAAGCAGCTATAGACAATATACAAATAAAGGGCTGTAGCTGTGTCTTAGTAAAACTTTACTTACAAAAATAGGGAGTGAGCCAGATTTGGCTCACAGGCTGTTTGCTGACTCCTGATATGTAAGCAAGGGGAATATATGTAGTTGAATAGCAGCACCCAACATAAATAACTATAAAGCAACATTGTTTTAGACTGTTTTGTGTTGCTATAACAGAACACCTGACACTGGATAGTTTATAAGGAACAGAGATTTATTTCTTACAGTTCTAGAGGCTGGAAAGTCTAAGTTTGAAGGGCACATAGCTGTCAAGAGCCTTCTTGCTGCACTATCCCACGACTATCCCACGATGGAAGACAGAAGGGCAAGAAAGCACAAACAAGACAGAGACAGCAAGAATGGGCCCAACTTGCTTTTATAACAAACCTACTCTTGCAATAACGAACCCACTCCCCTCAATAATGACATTAAGGCATTCACGAGGGAAGAGCCCTCATGACCTAATCACCTCTTAAAGGTCCCCCTGCTCAACACTGCCACATTAGGGATTAAGTTTCCAACACATGAACTTTGGGGGACACATTCAAACCATAGCAAACCAAAATCACATAAGTGTCAGCCAACTAACTACATGAGAAAAATCTTTTTCCTACATATGAATATATATATATATATATATATATATATA